TGTGTAGTTTTGCTGAAACTTGGCATCCCTCTCTTCCATGAGCTTCAGTGCACTGTCCTTTAAAGCTCAACATTATGGTAAAAACATCACACTCACCTTTGTTTAGTCCTAAAGAATCATGATACACACACCTAGTCTGAAGCTTTCTGGCAAGCTTTTTATTTAGAAAAAAAAAATTCCCTAATACTCCACCTACTGTTCGTATCAGTATTCATATTTGAATTTGGACACATGATCAAAAGTATCCCAAAATGTAACATATTTACATAATTACAGAATATCACATTTATACACAGGAAGTGAACAAGGTCTGGAGGAAGTATTGAGTACAGTAATGTGACGGATGAGCCTGAGCTGCTTTATTGGTCAGTGACTGATAATCCTCAGTGGGAGAGCTAATCTGATAACAAGACTGAATGAAATAACTCACTAAGGACTGCTCTCTCTCTCTCTCTCTCTCTCTCACACACACACACACAGCTGAATTGGAGGACAATCCTGCTGTTTAGATGCTGCAATTTTATTACCAGTTGTTCCTGCAAAGGTGTGGAAAATATGAAAGACTTATCATAGAAACAGCACTTTTTCTCATTTTAATTTTAAAAATGCAGTAGTCATATGACACAGCACCCCTCAAAACATTTTGTAATGTCATTATCAATACGATTTATGCATTAAAGTGATAGTTTTGTGAAAAATTAGACACAATGTTGCCTCTTACTTCAAACTTGGTTGATCAGCCAAGACATTATTTGGAGTCTGAGTTTTGCGTGTTTAGTTTTGCTCTGCAGCTATAAGGTTAATGCTGATAATGGGTAACAGTCTACAGTTTAACATGCTCTTCTTAAAACATGCCAAATAACACCATTTGAACATATTCTATTTCATACAACAGCAGATTAAAACCATTATTTTAAAAATAGGCATAAAAAGCTAAAACTTCTCCCAGACATTCAGCTAGACGGAAAATGCTGAGTCAGCTTGTGCTCCACTCACAACAATAGCAACTAGCGAACAGCAACATGAGCAGGATTGCCTCTGCCTTCATGATTGCCTTCAGATTAATAACTACACTGGACTTAATTTTTAGTTTTAACTTTCAGTCAAATCCTGATGGAGCTCTAGAGACATGCTTGTGGGTTCATGCTGAAGTTAGGATAATTCATGACCTTGGTATTATAAGGTTCTATCTGGGTGAAGAGCCATTTTGAGATATGGAACATCACAGTTTTGACCTTACAGCTAGTCAAACTCACTGAAAATTACTACTACTGAAGTACTGAAAATTACATTTACAGCTCAACAAGACCTAAACGTTGAGCTTACTTCAAATGTACACTCCTGGGCAAAAAAAATAGGCCAAGCCCAAAATGGCAAATATTAAGTTTTTAATGGTCTTACCAACAAATGATTGGTCAGAAAATTAGAATTAAACAAATGCAGTCCTGAGAGCTCCTGTGCCACCATTTACTCGTTTACTTTTGCTGCAGTGAAGAGTTTGGGGAAAAAGCTAGAAACAGGGAAATTCACTTAAATAGTCTTCTTGTACACGAAGATAAAATCATGATAATGATTAAAATGTTTGGTGTAAAATTCAAAGTATGACATGACTGAGTGCACAAAATTATCCAAAAATATCTTCTGGGATGTTTTTTTTTTCTTTATATGATGAGTCATTATTTAGTTATCTGCCACACCATCAAGGACCACAAGACTTAAACATTTAAAGAAATCAAGGGGAAAAGCTCTCCCATACTAAGTTCCTTTATCTATTTGTTTAGTTTTTGCTAATATCCTGACCAATGATTTGTTGTTAAGACCATTAAAAGCTTAATACTTTGCCATTTTGAGCTTGGCTCATTTTTTTTTGGCCACGAGCATACTTTACTGAAATTCTAAGACAATCAGAAAATGATTTTTTTGAACAGTAGACAAACACAGATTTTTATTATTTTTCGGTGTATTCAGTCAAATACAGCTCAGTTTGTTTAAGGTGTTATAAGACTCTAAGATTCTATCTTATTATGAAATCTTTTAATCTCATTAAAGAAGTAATAAATGGTAATAAACTCACCAGGGAAAGACTTTACCACATTACAATCATATATGCTTTTAAAGAAATGTAGTTTTTCTGAATGTATTCTCTAAGATGGATCATACAAGATATTTCACTTCATGTCTGAAGTTGTTCCTAAACATTTTTTACTCTGAAATTTCACCAGAAAACATTTAACAATATTAAAATGCATTAGAACACTCAATAACTGTTTCTTGGTGAAGGATGCCTATGTTGAGTTCAACCGGGGTGATGATTGGCTGGAAGTTTGAACCATATAAAACCAAGTTTATTTGTGAGTTTTGTAGATTTAGAAAAAAACAACAACATTACACCAAAAACTTCATTCATAGTCAACAATTTACGTGATAACTCATTTTCGACTAACATTCCATACAGAACCTAATAATACTGATTTTAATGATTTAAAAAAAAAAATTATCAATTCACAATGACCTGAACATCATGTCTGTATGAGGAATATGATATTTATTGACAGATTAGAGAATTGGAGGTGAGTGTGTCATGAGTGATGGAGGATGGTGTGTGGTTTTAGAGTGCTAGATACAGGTGTAGCAGCAGGCGGAGGAGAGGAGGAGAGGATGTGTGTGTGTGTGTGTGTGTGGAACAGATTGGCATGGTGCTGTAATAGAGCTCCACCCAGCTGTGCTACAGGAGGGACAGAGCGGAAGAAGCACAGCATTTCCATAATAATCCACCCTGCGTGCTCCCAGGGGCCCCCTGACTCTGTGTGCGTGTGTGTGCGTGCGTTTGTGCGTAGACACTCAGAGGTTGAGAGGGGACGCAGCTGCTCTGTAAAGGAGCATGGAGAGAACAGGACACCGCTGCAGGCCACGCAATAAAGAATGCACATTATACAGAGAGAGAGAGAGAGAGGGAGAGAGAGAGGGAGACCGAGTGAAATGGAGAGGAATAGACAGAGAGCAAGACTGGAAAAAAAGAGAAAACAGAAATATACAAACAGAAAGAGTGAGAGAAACAGAGAAAGCTAGATACAGAAAGAGGGAGACAGAATGACAGAGAAAGTGAGAGAGAGAGATGGAGATGGGAAGAGAGACAAGAAAGAGAGCAACAAGAGAAAGAGAGAGAGGCAGGAAGGAAGATAGAGCAACAAAAAAGAGGCAAAAACAGAGACAGTGAAAAACAGAGGCAGTGTGTGTGTGTGTGTGTGTGTGTGTGTGTGTTTGAGAGAGAGAGAGAGAGAGAGAGAGAGAAGAATAAAGTGAGACAGGCGGAATTAGAAAGAGAGAGACAAACTGAGAGAGACATACACACAGAAAGAGAGAAAGAAAGAGAGGAAAAGAGAGAGATGGATATAGAAAGAGACAGAAAGGGAGAACGAGAAAGAGAGTGAGACAGACAGAAAGAAAGACAGAAGAGAGACAGGCAGAAAGAAAGGTAGAGGGAGAGAGAAATGGAGAGAAAGAGAACAAGAGAGGGAGAGATGGAGAGAATGAGAGAGAGAGAGAGAGACCGAGACAGAGATCAGTGCTGATGGTGTTTCTCGTGTTTCTCTGCTACAGAAATAAGAGGAGTGTGTAAGTGTGTGTAACTGTGTTCACTGGCATCAGCCCTGTTCCAAATACACCCACTTCAGCACCAAAAGACGGAATGAGCTACAGTGAAGTGCTCTTATTCCGTCAGAGTTTAAATGCACCCTCTCCCTTAGCTCATCCCCATTATTCAACAGTCCAGTATTTAACACTGACACTGATTAATTTATTGGGAACAAGGAAACTAGGGGCATGGGCAACTAGGGAACACATGTAAACCAGCACATCTGTAAACTAGGGAACAAGGAAACTAATACACAGTGTTCTAGGGGCACTTGTAAAGTAGGAATGAGGAATCTAGGAAGAAGGACATCGGAACAATTTAGGGAGCAAGATAACTGGGTGTGAGAAACAGTAGACACTGGCGAACAACGAGTCTAGGAACACTGAAACCTAGGGATTATCTTTGGAAAAAGGTAACAAGGAAACTTGGGACACCTCAAAATTGGAAAATGAGGAACCCAGGATTCCTGGAATTCAGGAGGAAAAATAGGGAATAAGGAAATCAGGATGCAGAACACTAGGAACAAGAAAACTATAGAAACTAGGATACAAAGAAGCTAGAGACATTAGGGAAAACCTGTAAACTAGGGAACATGGAATTGTGGGACATGGGAATACTACTGCCCTATAAACATCTAGGTACTATATAGTCAAATACATTGTGTATAGGGTTAGTGCATAGTGAACACTTTGAGATAAATTGAACAGAGGTCTAAGGTGAGCACCCTAAGAACCTGTCTCCATGGCGATCCCTGTCGGGCGCATCCCTAATCAATAACTCCCACCTGCAGGAAGTGCAGTGAAATGTCTCAACCGCCCTGAGAGTTCAGACTCGGCATGCTAAGGCTCAGCTAAAACACACTAGTGTGTGTGTGTGTGTAGGACAGTGGGAGGGAAGGAAGGGGGCATGGCTAATTAATGCAAGCATTTGTCAGTGATTAAGCTCCGAGCCGAAAAGGTCAGGCGAGCAGCAGAGCTCGGCTCCGTCCCAATCCCCTGCTCTAAGGCAGTCTAAACCTTTCCAGCCTAAATGGTAAAGACACCATTCCAACACGTGGGTCATGCGCCCCACCACCCTCCATTACGCGGCTGAGGCGGCTCTGCTGATCCGTGTCATTTAGGGGATGAAAAATAAGAGCGGCGGGTGAGATCGATAGGCGACAGCGTCCCAACTGGCTGTGATTAATTGACTGTCACCAATTAATGAGTGAACGATTACAAAGCAGCGTGTGAGGCATGTGGGGGGGGTATGCTCTTCAGAAAGAGCTCTGAATATTCCAACACTGCTTTATTTCTGTACAAATAATGACTGTTTTCTACACATAATTTAAAAATTGCACACTATATTAAAGTGTAAAATATTACGGTTCCTGGAGGAATAGTGGTTAGGCCTCGGCGCTCTCACCACTGTGGCCTGGGTTCGAGTCACGGCCAGGGAACAGCGACAGTGTACTCCCAGTGCTGGTCCCAAGTCCAGATAAAATTGGGGAGGATTGCATCAGGAAGGACATAAAAACTGTGACAAATCAAATATGCGGACCAATGATCTGCTGTAGCAACCCCTAACAGGATCAGCCAAAAGAAGAACAACATTAAAGGGTAAAATGTGAATGAGGTAATAGACAGCGGTTAACAATAATGCTTTGCGCCTTCAGCAAAAATAACGTCCTCTGGGTAAATAAGGGCGGAGCTTATGTAAAATCTGTTTAGCCAATCGCAAGCCTATGTGAAAACATCAATAGCCATTCTTTTTGCTTCTTTCGCTCAACTTACTACTTACAATTAGAGATGGCACCCAGTATCTATATCTGGCCAGTATCCAAAAAAATGGTGGCTCGGATATAAGAGAAAACATATCAGATATCAGATCCTGTAACAAATGCCAAAGACTGGAATTGGATTTCTAAAAGAGATGTATTTTGGAACTGGAAATGTTTACATATAAAGAGACTTGGCTGTTTTTTTCCTTTTGTTGCACGATTGACTTTATTATATTCATTCTTTATATTTTATTATATTTATTATACTTAACAATGTAAGTGATTTTTGTGTGAAAGAGTTTAACTCTTTGAGCATAGTAGGTTTTTTTTTAAAAAAAAGAAGACAATATCGGATAGGTATCGACATTGGCTGATACTCAAGGTTTCAGTATCGGTATCAGAAAAGAAAACATGGTATCATGCCATCTCTACTTACAATAAAGGTTTTAAAAACACTCACGTGTCTGTATGATTAATCTTAAAAGACAAAATGCTTTCATTAAAAGAAAGAAAAAAAAATCAGTCAGTAATATGTTCCAATAAAGTGTTTTATTCATCTTATACCACAACAATCTGTCAATGATTACATTTATTAATCAAAGAACAATATGTCATAATTTTTATGTTTATAGTTACATTTAATTTTGTGGAACATCCAGAAAACATGTTAGTTCCTGTTATCACTTATCGCAGCAATAAACAGTCTTCCCTCACCAGCCCCTCTCTATTTTCTCTCTGTTGAAGTTAATAAGACAAAAATGATGCTTGTAAACCATTCTGAGTTCACCTAATTTAGGTAATGCTAGTGATAAAAACAGCTTTTACTGCCTTTGTTCATTTTGAAGGGTTTGCCTGCTGTTAACTAGCAGGTTAGCTATTTGGGATGGCAGGAGGCCATATGGAGTGTTTTAAAGTTGCATATCATGCATATTCATAAACCCTACCGTTTTTAATGAAGGTAAAATTCTAGCCGCGCCATTTAGTCAGTTTGCGGGTGTTTAAAATTATATCAAACCATTTATTACTGAACATTTTCCAACTTGCACCTCCAAGCAACGTGGTGAGAATAGCAATAAAGATAAACACCAGGGGTCCCTTCACCACGCTGAGGCCTCAGGCATCGCTTGCACAGCTGGGTTAATAACTTTTGGGCTGGTTAAAGTGGTAGTGAGACCGAGTGAGGTGATCTGTAACTCACACTGATGGTGCATTACATCTGATTGGTTATAATGGTTATAATGGATAACAGTGAACTGTAATGCTGTGTGACTCGGACTTGAGCTGCCTCATTTATTATAGACAATGCTGACTATCAGGAGCAGGAACACTTACTCAACAAATCCTCCTCCTCTCATTTCACCTGGCTCAGTCTGACCTGATTTTTAAAATACATCATGTTGTATTTTACAAAATGTTGTGACACTTTGAGAAAAAAATTCGAATTCATACCCAGTGAGCAATGACTGACCACAGACGTCCATGGATACCCATTAGCAGCCCAGGCCTGAATTACACTGACAAATGTAAAGACATTGTTCTGGTCTGTTTTTGGGCTCCCTTGATTTTGGACATATTTTTGGTCAATATTAACTTTGAAGGCTTGTAAAGATTCACTGACTGTGTCTCTAAAATGGACATACTATTAAAAAGTTTAAGGGTTGTATAGCTCTGTGTGATTTAAAAAAAGCATAATAATTGTTATAATTTTTAATTATGCACATGCTTGTGTTTCTCTGCTGTTGCCAGTACACAGATAAAAATAAAACTGTTGATATTCAGGTTATTTTTGTTTTAGATAAAATTTTTATCTTTCGTTAAATAATAACACATATTTTTCTTTGTTTTAACAAATAAGTGATTTGGCCTTTTTGTACCAAAAACAGTAGTAATAATATTATACTGAAAGACAAATGAAATTCACAACAAACAAACAGAACTGAATGAATGAACAAACATGTAATTCCTTTTTCTATTTCATCCATTCATTTTCTTTACTGCTTATCCTACACAGAGTCACCTAGAGGGGACTCAGGGCACAAAGCAGGGGCCACCCTGCAAGTGGTGCCAACCGCTCACAGGACACAATCGTGCACTACAAACAATTTTGGAAATGCCAATCACCCTAAATGCATGTCTTTGGACTGGGAAGGAAACCAGAGTGCCTGGAGGAAACTCACGGGAGAACATGCAAACACCATGCACACAGGGCGGAGGTGGGAATCGAACCCCCAAACCCGGAGGAATGGAAGAATGGTTATGAGACCACAATTATAGAATAACTCAGATCAGAAGATCAGAAGAAGACAGTTTGCTGTTCAAGGTTGATTTGAGTAATTTTGATGAATTGCGTAAGAATATTTAAGAAAATAAAAACATATAACGTGTGTGTGTGTGTAATATATATACACACACACGCAGGCCAAGTAAAATATTAAGAAAGCCAAAGGTCATGATTTTAAGACAGCAATGGCCTGGAGCTTTGTCTCTTCATAATGCACATCTACACACGATATTTTAATAGTGAGACAGCGATGGACGGTGTGTTGAAATGAAACACTTGCATTAAATGACACTAATGTAGTCCCAGCATTGCTCCAATCAATGTACAACACTGTTTTCCCAACGGTTCAATGCTAATCGAGTTAGCTCACGGGGCCTCGGAGACTGTCTGCCATTAAACTATAAGACAATAAAGCAACACGCATATTCTGCCCTGATATTTGACAATGAGTTATGAGGCATCGCCAACCGAGCATGTCCAAAAGCATCAAATGGAGAACGTTCTCTGTCCTTCACTTAAAGAATTAATAATATATTAAAAACAAAGACCTACAGAGTACTACCTGGATAGCCAACATTAGCAACATTTAAATATAGTTGCTAGCTAGCTGATATGCTAATATGCACTTAAATGGATCATTTTACAGGTGTATTTCAAAATGTTCGTCTGGAATGTATGAAAAAAATGTTGGCTATTAATTTGACTATATCTTATTATTTTTTTGTTTTTAAGAAATATGTGTAACAGAACGTGCACACTATATACGAATTAAGTTTCCCTTAAAACTGCTAATTGCTGCTAGTTGCTGTTTCAGATTGAGGAAAACCAAATATGAGTTATTTTGAAATAATTATTTTAAATAACCAAGAAATCATCAACATTCCATAACTATCTTAGCTATGCAGCTAGCAAGCTGTACAGGTTTATTAAAAAAATTAGCTAGCTATTTATAGCTACAGACTGGGAATATTGTACAGGTTTTAACAGATAAGTTAAAATCATATGCCATGTTCTTTAGGAGTTATGGTTTAATTGCATTGGAGGCATTAAGAGCGCACTATCAGCTTCCAACTTTGTTAATCTGGCTTACTAAGTTCAGTATTCCTTCTCCTGCTAGTTTTGTGTCTATTATGACTTTAAAATGTTATATGTAATAAATATACATTTCTGCACTCACTTACCATTGTTGGAAAGGCAACTTTTTCCACTTCATTGGCATGTAAGTCTAGTTGTGTAATCGTTGATTTTGTGAATTCCACATAAGGTTTGTTAGTCAGAAATTTTAAAATGCTGTAAAAAAATAAGTCAAGGTGCTTCCAGGTTTGATCCTGAGATCGGATGATTGTCTGTGTGGAGTTTCTCTGTGTGTCCCTGCAGGTTCTCAGAAACCTGCCAGTGTGTGGACTGGCTAATGCTGCGTTTGAAGTGAAGTTGCAAGTTGTAATTCCCGGTCTACAACCAGCAAAAGCCACCGAAAACACCCCCTCGACTTGAAATTTCAACTTGTCAACTTAGGGTTGCTGTTCCTCTTTCAGCTGCTCCCATTAGGGGTCGCCACAGCGGATCACTGGTCCATGTATTTGATTTGGCACAGTTTTTGCACCTGATGCCCTTCCTGAGGCAACCCTCGCCAATTTCAGCCGGGCACTGAGAGCGCACTGTTGCACGCAACCCCAATAGCTAGGGTTGGTCCCCTGGGCGGGAATCAAACCCAGGCATCAGCGGTGAGAGCGCCGTGGCCTAACCACTAGTCTCCCCGGGACCCAACTTGTCAAATTGGGGTAATCTTCTTTAAACTGTCAGTTCCTTCCCTGCTTATGGAGTGACATCGAATCAACTTGGCTGTGGACTCTGTGAACAGTGTAAAGTCCCCCTTCTCTACTTTTAAATTGCTTTTAGAGTGTGGTTAACGTAGTTTTTTCCAACAGAACAAACAAAACACAAGCTTTTGTGGAGGCATGGAGATTTTTTTACACTTAGCATACTGAACATCCCAAGATGGGAAATGACATTATTACAACTTGCAAATTACCACTTACAAGGCACTGCGAAGGCAGCATAGGTGTGTATATGGTGCCCTGCGATGGACTGGCTTCCCATCCAGGGTGTATTACTGCCTCACACATGTTCCTGAGATAAGCTTAAAACTTATACTGCGACCATATACTGCAGCTACTGAAAGTTAATGTGAAATTGCCCCTAGGTGTGAATGAGGGTGTGAATGTGTATCTGCATGGTGTCCTGTGATGGAATGGCGACCCATGAGTCTATTCCTGTCTCATAGTGTTCCTGGGATAGGCTCCGGATGCACCGTGACCTTGAATGAATTAATATTAAAATAAACAGGCAAACTACATGCAACATCTAAAATTAGAAAAAAATACAGTAAGAGGAGGTTTCTCTTAGTGTTTCTGTATTAGTCCACGCAATATTTGGATGTTTGTACGCATTGCCTTGTTTAATCAGGCTAATTTCTCAGAACGTTGTGCTTCTGCAACCTTAAAACATTTATCCTTAGCAAGTTCTATACGTTTGCAGATGACTCAACATTCCAGATACTATTTATCTGCCAAAACTAAACCAAAATACACCATAATTCAAAGAGTCTGCGCAGAAAACATGGCAGATCAATCCGACAAACCCGAGTCAAAATGGCAACGAATGCCATCTCCGTGCGCATGCGCATCATTCTCATTTACTCTCAGCACGCTGATTTGCGAATCCGCTCTCGCATTGTTTGGTCCTTCCGACTCGCCGTAGTTGTAGCCGCTGTGCTACTGAGGAGGGAGTTTTGTTTTGTTCTGTATTGTGTTTTGTTTTGTTTGGCTCAGAGTAACTTTAATGCTTTATCTTACATTCAGAAATGGCTCAAAACGTCCAGAACGTGACTCTGTCTCTGACATTACCCATATCTTGTCAGATTTGCCTGGGAAAGGTAACGTTTAATAAATAAGATCTTATTAAATATAATTAAAAACATGTTAGTTAGCCAGCTTATTTCCTGCTTATTTCCGATTCCGCTTAGCTTTGAAGACTACTACCATTTACTTTATATTTCTAAATTTCTGTATATATATTTTACAGGCTGAATTTAATTTGGTTAGCGCTAACTATTTCTGTCAAATGTAAAAAGTTCTGAATGATCTCTAATAGATCTAAATCAACGCTAAATGATTTTTAATATTGTTGTAAGATTTAAATATTGTTTGTAATATCTCGGATATACCGAAAATAATTAGCATGTCTGCACTGACTTAATGATAGTTGATTTATTTTACTTTATTTATTTATTTATTTATTTATTTGTTTGTTTGTTTGTTACTGTTTAATCATCCTTAACAGTACATATGTTATTTCACGGTACAAATCTCTACTGAAGCGCCTATACTTTTATATTTATGTGTATTTCCGTATTTAATATTAAATATCAGTATGAAAATATATTTCACTGCATTGTTTCCTAATTCTGAATTAAAGTCCAAACTGCTCTACCGATTCAGTTTCTGCGCATGCGCACGCGCACTTCACTTTTGCACTTCTTTAGATTCCTACTTCATATATTTTAATGGAGACATATATTGATAAGGTCACAGTAATATAGTAGACAAATAGCACAAAATACTGACTTAAAAATGCTTGGGTAGGAGTGTCATTCTCAGAATATGGTAACAAACCTGTCTCTTAACTTATTGGTCATGACATAGTTTAAAAATGTTCAAAAAGCCCCACAATAACAGACTTGATTGGATAACTTTAAAGCTTCCTAAAGCATTAAAAATAGTTTCATGGAAAAATAATTTGTCCCACAAGCCGGTTGAGTTGTATTACTTTAGAGTACTTTAGAGTACTTATTCCTTATTAATTTTAATATTCCTTTTTAATTTTAATATCATATGCTGAACAAAAGTATGAGGTCTGTCAAACATGTAAATTAGCTGTATAAAATACGTTTTTAATAATATAAATAATTTAAAGGTGCAATATTAGATTTTTTTATTCATTACTTGTACAAATAAGATATAACGTGGGGGGGAAAAACAGTGGATAAAGCTGTGGCCTTAGAAAATGTTTAACCACTGAGAAAACCCGTTTGGAACTGATGTCTGGTCCAGATTGCTGGTTTGCTTTGGGAAGTGCCTCCTGTCAGTCATTTATAGACACTATACGGCCTACTGAAGATCCTGCAGGCAGAGCTTCATGAACATGGGCAGGAATCATACAAATATTGAACCCACCTAACCTAGAGACCTAATCTTGAAAATAAAGAGACTAATCCTACCTAATGTACCATTAAATAGAACTTTTTTTTAACTTTGAAATGTCAAAAAGTTGTGCTTCTAGGGTCAAAGTTCAGAAGAATAAATGGCCATTTAAGCCAGCCAGAGTTTCTCTCCACACTCTATATATTATTAATTTACCATATATTTTAGATGTGTTATTAGAGTTACACCTTTCAATCTTCCTGTAAAATAATGTTTTTTTTTTTTAAATAAAAAAGGATTTAATAGAATAATTTATTGATTTATGTGATAAATGATGTGTGCTTCGAGTGCCACATTAAAGGTCAAGAATACTGGTTATTCATTCAAAAAGGATTTCACTACAGTCACAATTTCCTTAATATAGAATAATGAAAACATCATTGTTTTTTTGTTCTGGTCAGAAAGTCACCATATTCTGAGAATGCGCCCGCACACGTCTTAGCACTATCCATATATGCATTATGTCCCTGACCACATTCTCTCCATCCTGTAAGCCCTCATCTTACTGACCTTTTGTCTTGTCCCGTGTGCGCAGGTCCGTAAGCCGATGATCTGCTGTAACCACCACGTGTTCTGTGCAGCCTGCATCGAGCTTTGGCTTCAGAAGTGCAGTCAGTGTCCCACCTGCAGAGTTCCCATCACATCTGAAAATCCGTGCCGAGAAATTATCGGTAAGAGTCAGGAGCCTGTATTGATGTTCAGATACTCAGTGCTTATTTGAGTGTTGAGGAGTGTTATCACCCCTAGACACGTTTAGAGACTAAACATAAACTTCTTATGAAGAATAAGAAATATAAGCCAACTAAATCCGACTATTTAACTATTGGCACATTAGGCAAATATACACCATCATATTTATTTGTCAGAAAATTAGAACCTAAACTGCAGATTCAAAATATTTTGTATCTTGTGAACGGAACGTTTGCTAGTTTTATTGTAAATTGCAGTTCAATTCAAGTTGACACAAGCCACCTGACATACACTCGTATTATTAAATGATAACTATGACAGCTGTAATGACATTAGTAATAGTAGCTGATAGTGATCACCTTCTATCATTAAAAATAATGATGATGTATAGAATTGCAGACACTTGGACTCTACATCCCTGTGGTTTCACAAAAAACACCCTGAGAATCATGGATCTGTATCCTTGCTGCATAATGTTAGCCACGTAACACTTTTCAGTTCCTAATCCTAGTTTGTCGTCATATGGCATATGGCATATACCACTGCGTCATAGGGCAGTGGTAGCTCAGCGGTTAAGATGTTGGACTTCTGATCGGAAGGTTGAGAGTTCAAATCCCAGTACCACTGGGCTGCCACTGCTGGGCCCTTGAGCAAGGCCCTTAACCCTCAGTTGTATAAATGAGATAATTGTAAGTCGCTCTGGATAAGGGCGTCTGCCAAATGTAAATGTAAATATCACTACATCATCACCATTTAAATGTACTGCTGAAAAAATAATTTAAATATACTGCTCAAAAATAATAACAACACTTAATCATATCACCAAGTCAGTTAAACTTCAGGGATATCAATCTGTCCAGTTAGGAAGCATAAGTGATTGTGAATCAGTTTTACCTGCTTTGGTGCAAATAAAAGTGGCAACAGGTGCACTGGGGAGGCAACAGGAAGATAATCCCTAAAAAGGGAATGGTTTGGCAGGTGATGGCCACAGACAGTTGCTCTCTCCTTATCCTTCCTGAATGATTTGTCTCTAGTTTTGTGTTTTGTTAGGGTCCTTGTCACTACCCAATCAGGTTGCACAGGTAGTCCAGCTCCTCTAGGATGGCACATCCATACATGCCTTCACAAGGAGGTTTGGTGTGTCTCCCAGCACAGTTTCAAGAGCATGGAGGAGATACCAGTAGACGGGCCGTTACACGAGGAGAGCCGGACAGGGCCGTAGAAGGGCAGCAACCCAGCAGCAGGACCAGTATCTGCTCCTTTGTGCAAGGAGGAACAGGAGGAGCACTGCCAGAGCCCTACAAAATGACTTCCAGGAGGCTACTGGTGTGCATGTTTCTGACCAAACTGTCAGAAACAGACTCCATTGAGGGTGGCATGAGGGCTTGATGTCCTCTAGTGGGACCTGTGCTCACAGCCCAGCACCATGCAGCTCGGGTGGCATTTGCCAGAGAACACCAGAATTGGCAAGTCCACCATTGGCACCCTGATCTCTTCACGGATGAGAGCAGGTTCACACTGAGCATGTGTGACAGACGTGAGAGAGTCTGGAGATGCCGTGGGGAATGTTATGCTGCCTGCAGCTTCATCCAGCAAGACCGGTTTGGCGGTGGGTCAGTGATGATCTGGGGAGGAATATCCTTGGAGGGTTTCACAGACCTCCACATGCTAGCCAATGGTACCCTTACTGCTGTTAGGTACCGGGATGAAATCCTCAGAGCCATTGTCAGAACTTACGCTGGTGCAGTGGGCCCTGGGTTCCTCCTGGTGCATGGTAATGCCCGGCCTCATGTGGCCAGAGTATGTAGAC